ACTACAAATACTGTGTGTATATTTTGGATAATAAACATTATTTAGTATATTAGATTGTAAACCATTACACTTCGCCGACGCGCTCTTGATCAAACAAGTGACGTTCGATCATCCATAAGTGGACCTTGAATTTTAGTGCAATGGACGGTTGTTTTATTGAGGCCCCGTACCTTGAACGTCTATTAGGACTTAAACATATAGAAGACCTCAAGTGGAACACGTACATATGATCCATCGTTAAAGATGCTGGATAAATAATCTGTTCCCTGTACCTGACTCTACCTACTGTCCTCTATCATTACAAGAGCCAAATCAGGCCGAAAATGAAATACTTCAGTCATATATGCGTAGGGCTTACCCAGCCTTCACTTTCCAGTCTCGGTTAGAGGTTAGAAGAGTCTCCGCGTCCTTGTGGGTGATGAATTATTTCCCACTCTACAACGCCTTTCCCTCAGACGAAACGTTGCAAGCCTCTTGCCACTCTATCTCTATATCCATGGAAAATGTTCAGACAATATACATTCCTTAATTTCATCAGTTCTAACTTTCACGGCTAAGACCCGCCGTACCATCTACACTGTAGCGAACCATCTTCATACCCTTCGTATTCCATTTGAGGTACTTTGTGGAACCGACTCCCAAAAGGATGCATCTCCTATCACTGAAATCTGAATCTTTTTAGATCTCAGGTTAGCCGTTATCTTCCCCAAATATCCTCATAAACTGTGCTCCTTAATACTTACACTGTAATCTTCTACCTCAAGTGTCTCTTGTGCCTTCTAGAGGGTAAAAAACGTATTATACTATACTAGCCGCATAATCCGCGCCTTGCTGCGTGTCACTCATTTTTTCTTATAATTTGTGGAGAAAAATTATGCATTTCAATATTATTCAATGATCTTGCCGATGTGACCTCCATCTTCTGGATTTCTACTTCTATATTTTGAATAGGATTCATCCCCTTGTTCAAATTTAATATAAATCAAAGGTAATAAAATTCAGTGGGAGTGGTTCAAAACAGCTTGATCCTGACCCTTTTGATGTGTATTTAATGCAATACTTGATTGAGTTGATGAGCAGATTTCAACATTGGTATGATAGTTGAATTGTTGCAACAAATATGCAATTTAAGGCACTACCCATTGTTTGGTGATTTCTTGCTCAACTTGACGTCCATATTGTCTCATTTTGATTTTGCCGATGTGACCTCCATCTTCTGGCTTTCTCCTTCTATATTCTGGATATGAGTCATTCCCTTGTTCAAATTTAAATTTAATTTAAATTAAAGAGGGAAAAATTCAGTGGAGGTTTGTGCCCCCTTTGATCAAAATGAAATATACTTATCCAAGTCCCCTGGGTAATGTAGTTTCAGAATATATATGGATAGGGGGGTCTATATCGAAAACCCCAGGAGGAGTTCGATAACAAACAGACAGACAGAGGCTAGAACTTTCTATATATAGATTTTGTGCGGAACGAATAATGTTACGAAAATATTGTCATCTAATATACTATGGTTGGTGCCCGGAACCATGCGTGACTCGTCGGACGTCACGCAAAAATGGGTTAAGCGAGCATTAATATTGCATATATCTATAGATTTTGTGTATATTCAATAGTCAGGTAAATGAACAAGACTGTCGCCTACTGATAAAAAGCATATTTTACACAACAAATATTTTTTTATCATATCACCCCATGCAAAGCAGTAAAGCCACTAAGACAAGGGAGGTTACTGAGTGTAGAAAAACATTGGGGAAGGAGAAGAATAGAAGAGTAAACAAGAGAGTAGATAACGATTTCATTGCATTTAAATTTTTGAAGACCAAACTTGATTGAAAAGCATGAAGCCGGAAACGAGTTCCACAAGCGAGAAATGTAAGAAAAGATATATATATCAATGAATTAATTATATGATTATCAAATCCTCCTACTTATTATATATGTTTATCATTGCTTGATCCGGCTTCTAATGCTCCAGTCGGCGCGGCTTGGTGAGAGTAGTCGTGGCTCCCGTGGGCACAGTCCTATGGTTATATAGCGAACTCAGTCGAGTTCCGCCACGGAATATGTGAGCGAGCGGCGCTAAGTTGAGTCTGATATGAATCTCTTCGGTACCGAGGCCCGTTTGGTACAGTTGTCTGCTTGACAACCCAACTGTCAGGGTTTCGATACTCGGTGGTGGATGTGCACTGCTGATGAGTCCCAATTATAGGACGAAACTGCCGTCCAGTGCTTCCTCTATTCCTGTTGAGGTTTCTATCAGACTCAATGAATTAATTATATGATTATCAAATCCTCCTACTTATTATATATATATATATTTATATATATATATATATATACATACATTGAACTTATGGTTATATCTAATCAGTTTAACTGTGAATTAATGATACTTTGCCGCCAGTCTAGTACTGGGCTTAAATTCATAGAGACTCCATACCACAGCGGAAAGATCATCCGGAAAACGACCATGAAAGCATTAATAGAAAAGGCACAGGAAAGCTTCATTACGGTGATAGAAAAAGTGACTGAAGCCTAGAGGTCAGGACCAATAATATTATTGATTTTTCTTTGGATTTTTATAAAGAATCTACAAATATACAGCAGGTGCACCGGACAAGATGTGACAGCAATATT